TATATATATATATATCATGTTTGTAACCCTAGATGACCCTCTGAGATTCTGAATCTTGTATTTTGTACTCTTTTCTGAATATTGAAAAGGAAGTCGTCGCTCTGCTTCTGAGGATGCAGACATCTTTGTCGAACCTCGTAAATCTCTGTGTGTTCTTCTGGATTTGTGTTGATTCCTGTTTTTCTTCGCCCTAATTTTTTAACAATAATATATAAGAATTGTGGTATGTGTATATCAATTGTTCAAAAATTTATCATATTTTAAACCCTTGCAACTTTTTAACAAATTTTAAAATAAGCAAATTTATCGATTGATATACATTGCATGCGCTTACGCTGCTGTCGCCCACTACTGCCTACCAGTGTCAATTGCCAACATTGCTTGTCAGATGCCAATGAATCATCATTGTCACAGGGCCACCTATCGTCATATTAAATTCATTTTACATTCTATAAATCTCAAAAATAAATAATTTATTATATTTATTTTATGTTCAATGAAATTATTTTGAAATATTTCAAAATTAATGTAATTTAATGGTATTTTATTATTTTTATTCAACATTCTTCTTTTGAGCGGAACCAAACATCTTTTAGGTGGACCCAATGAACACTCCATTAATATGAGCCAATGAAAGGGGGTTAGGAACGAATGGGAGCACATGGGAGTGATGGAGGAGAGTTTGGCTTCATGTTTAATTTTCATTATTCTTTCTAATAAAATATTTATTTCGGGCGCATTAAAGTTTGAGGGAGTGATTAATTATTATTATGAAGTAGGTGCACATTAAATCCCAAAATTTAAAAAAAAATTATATAAATATTTTTATATTCGATCTAAAACACATGTTAGTCTGTTGAGACGGTGGCGGTGCATTCAAGATCTAGTTATAGAGGGCTAAGAAGAGTATGAAATGACCATGACACCCCTGTTCCTTTTTAATTGATCGATCCCCAATCGATTGACTGGCTTCAAGTCATGGGGTCGTTAAATGTCTAGCACATTGTCCTCTTGCCGGTCGGCTTCTATTAAAGTGATCTTTGACTTGATCAACCTCTGGTTTAGCCAACCTCTGTATCAATTTACCTTTGTTTGGTTGCTACCTCTGGGTCGATTAACCCTTGGTTGGTCGCTCGATAGATATCCGACCATTGGTTCGACTGTCCTTTGGGTCGGTTGACTCTGGCCAGTCACAAGATCGATATCCATCCTCTCGACATCTTTGTATATTCTCATAGAGCTGATACATGCTCCACATTGAGTCGTTCGATTAGCAAAAGATCTGGTCAAGACTATTTTGATTGTAGAATATACTTGATTTGAATTTAACTTATTTATTTAGGTTGGAGTATTTGACATAATTAAATATTATTCGATAAGGGAGTGCACCTCAAATGCATTTGACACATTTAACCTTTTCTTTCTTCTTAGTTTAACTAATTTTACTATATTAATAATCATAATATAGTAAAATAAATCATCCCTAATCGTGTCTTAATTGAACTTTAATTGAGCCTTAATCGACCCTTACACGAGCTTTATTTGAGTAGCCTGTCAAGAAAAATAAATGAGTCATATCAAATAATATTTGTTGAGCCTAAAAAATAAACATTCCAACGATACTCTTCAAGGAAAAAAATGTAATTGAGCGTATTGTCACGACAAACTGTATTTAAGTCTTGGGCTGCCCGTCACCCCGAAAAGCTCTTTTGGGAGGCGACTTTACTGCTTTTTGTTCCTACACGTGGCCGATGTGAGACTTTTTGTCCGTGACACTAAACCCTAAACAAGAGATGCAAATGATTATAATTAAAAAAAAAGTAAAAAAATAGGATGACAATTTTGAAAAAAGAAATCCCAGTTAATGATCCATTAATTTGATCAATTGATTTTGTTGGAATATTTGCTCAACTAATAATTTAAAAAAAAAAATTTCCCTTAAATAAAGTCAAATCAAATTAGTCTACATTGATGAGAACTTTCTAATGATTTGAACCATTAATCAAATCAGTTTACTGTCTGGGAATCAAGATATAGATATTTTTTATGGAAGGAATTTATAAAAATTAAAATAAATTTCAATAATTTATAGTATAATTATTTATGTCTGCAACTAATTATTGAAATTATTAATTTTTTTTTCTTTTTTCTGTACTACCTAAATTAATTAAAAAAAAAGAAAGAGAAACACCAATTAGAAAACTTAATTTTTATTGAAATTTTTAATATCATATAATACAATATTTTTTGTTTTTTTTAAAACTTAATAATTTAATAATATTTTTTTAATTGTATGTTAAATTTAATTATCAAATTTATGATAATTAAAAAAAATTAACACTCAAGAGAATAAATAAAGAGAGGAGAGAGAAAGAGAGAGCTAAATTATCTTTTAAGTTTTTCCAAAATTCCTCCTTTTACGTGTTATTGTTCTTATATTTATAGTAGATATAAGTTACAATACGAAATATCAGTAATGTCTTTGAAATTTTCTATTACCGATTAATCGTCATAACAGTTAAGATAACTATTACTATAGCCGAATTATTACTCATATGATCTCCATTTCACTCGATCCTAGTTTAGCTTGGGGAATTTAGTTTATTACCGATGCTCAAATACAATCAATAATAATTAATTTAATATATTTAAGAACATGTAAGATTTACAGGGGCATGTTTTATCGTTTGACGGGATTTAGCTTAAATCTTACATAAATACTTTACCAAACAACCCCTAATTAAACTCTTTCTCTAGGAGTTGTTTGGTTGCTTGTCGGATTTAGTTTGAATAAGATTGAGTAAATCCTATAAATTCTGTAAAACCAAATTTATGAAAACTTGGAGGGGTTAAAGCCCGAAAACTATTTGTTATGTTAATAAGTAGATCCTAGTAAATATGGACAAAGTGTTTGGTGACTTTAATAGGATTTACTAAATCCCCCAAGCTTCAACTTATCTACAGCAACAACAATAACAAGCCTTTATCCCAGTAAGTGGGACCGGCTACATGAATCATTTTTCTCCATTGAGTCTTATTGAGAGTCCTATTTTTATTTAACTTTAATAAGTTAAGATCATTTTTTAAACAACATGCCCAAGTCTTTTTAGGTTGTTTATCTCTGCCTTTCTTAACATAAGC